TTATGAAATACTTAACTCCTCCCCCCTCCCTCTCTCTCTCTCTCTCTCTCTCTCTCTCTGTCTCGTAGTACTTTTGTATATATTAACGGAAAGAATAAGGACTCTCGATAGTTAAAACATCGAGATCAATAAGTGCAACACGGTTGTTCTCTCGTTAACACACAACCGTGTCGTACCTCTCATTTCCTTATTAATCTCAATTTTTGTACATTTCTAATCTATTCATAAGATCAGCAAGACACACTTTCTGTATAACTGTGTCTTCGTAAATTCGTTCGTAAATTATTCATTAAACACGAGTGTGTTTCGGAGTTGGGAAGAGTTTGGAAAAAATTTCAATAACCGAATATGAAACGATTCGTTACATAAAGCAAATCGTTGTTTGCTTAATTATTTGATGCTTAAAAAACACATTTCAGGAGGATTATGTGGACGATGACGAGAATGCAAATATACCTGATCGACACAAATCTGAATTCATCTGAATTGAGGTTAGGTTTAATACAAAGATTTTTATATCAAAACGATTAAGATAATATCGCCCGTAGCTGGGACTTTTCTTACTGAACATCACACGATTGACTTTATTTTAGAGCTAACGTCTCGTAAAGAGGTCAGATCAGGATAGATACGCGAATGCCGGTACACAGTGAGTTTCTTATCTAAATGATTATCATATATGTATTTTTTATATATGTAGAGGAACATCCTGTGATTTCTTCACGGTGAGAATTAAAAATTAACACCGTGAAAGAAATAAGATGGAATAAAACTTAAGTGAAAGCTGAATTGAAAGAGCTTTATATTTCACAAGAGCAAGAACTTTACCTGCTGTAATTTAATCTCATTTCTTTACTTTTATGCTCACTTCTAAATAATGAATTCGATAATTTCATCGTTTACGACGTATTTGATATAACGATTGATACCCTCATGTTTTAATTTGATTTTCTGGCAAACTTATTCATTTCTAGAGTGCTTGATGAAATACACATGCACAAAAATACTTTCAGCATTTCAACTATGCTGCAAGATATGGAAATGACCCCCAGGCACGATCAAGGCGAGATGTAGACTGACGGCAGAGAGCGATCCGTAAACGCTTAAGACTGTCTTATTGTTAGTCGTAGACGTAGGGCAAGGCAGAGAAAAACGTAAGTCGTGAAAGGCTATTGTATACGACTTACGTTTTTCTCTGCCCTGCTTACGTCTACGACTAAGGCCGGTATTCATAATCGGATCTCATGTTCAAGACCGTCTCGAATTTATCTAAAGATGCTGTACGGAACATTTAATCGGCTGCGGAGTATCTAAAGTTGATCTTGAGACAGTCTTGAATATAAGATCTGACTGTGAATACTGGCCTAAGACAGTCTTAGGCTAATATTACAATTTGTCGTGCGACAAATTTTTCAAGCATGTTGACTGGCTGCAATAGAAAAATTTCTAGATAACATTTCTAGAGCCAATCAGCACACTTAAAAATTTTGTCGTACGACAAATGTAATAGCCTTAAAGCCTAAGCTACAATGTGCTTCCTGCATCTAGAAACATTCTATTTTATATGAACAAATCAAAACGCTTAAAACATTTGTCGACGTTGTACGATTGTACAATGTATAATATAATATACAATTTATCAACTTGCACACATTTTGTTAAACGTATTCATTGATTACAAAATAGAATGTTTCTAGACGCAGAGAGACCATTGTAGATTAGGCTACAGCGTTTACAGTTCGTTCTCTGCCATCAGCCGCAGGAGCGGCTGCGAACTATATATTCATATGTCGAGACGTGATAGCGATGTATTTCCTCGCGGTGGTTTGAGAAGAAAGAGATGACTCGATAGACAATTAACACGAAACAAAGCTCAGCGAGTTTCGTTAATTTTAATTAACGTGAAAATGTTCGATTGGTGTCTTCTTTTGCTGAAATGCCGGTGAGTTATTGAATTTGGAATACTGAAACGTTGCAACATTTCTCTTGTTAACAGGCAGTTAACAGGAATATTAACATAACAGTATTAATGAGAAAGATTGTAGAAAAAATTCCAGGCTAATTTTCGCGATACTTTTTCTGGAGCTCGATCATGAATCTTTTCCTCTAGCGTCAACTCGTAAAAAGTGAAAAATTTCATTGAAGAATTCAACGCTAGTCAACGAAATTTTTTACTTTTAACCGTACTACCAGCGCCATCTTCCCGAACATCTCCAAAGCTGCTCTCCACATTTCTCTCATTTCTGTTGATATCGTAAAGAAAATCTTCTATACATTCGTTTTAAAGAGAAAACATTATTACAATGCCATTCTAAATAATCTTTTTATCGTGTTTATAGTATAAATACGACAATAAAATTTCCCGTATTTCCCAAAATAAACCGATAGACGGCCAGTTGATAATCTAACGCGACGCTGGAATCGTAACTTCACAGCTAAAAGATACATTTTTTAAGCTGCGCGTTTACATTTTTTACATTTTTAATCTCTCCTTTTCTCCCCGATATGTCTGTTTCATCTAAAGTGCGAAAGGTGCAACGAGGTGCAGATACGAGGAGCACATTCGACAATCAAATCAGCAATCGTGCGGCCCCCAAATATTCATTCGCGTCATTCGCCGCAGACGTCTACGTCGGCGAGTCGCGTCGGCATTTGCAATTTTCCATTTACATTTACAGATGCAAGCATCGGGGCCGCCTTAGCGGCGCGTCCAATTTGCTCCTCCGCCGCGATTTCGACCAGCGTATTCGAGATCCGGCGACTGTGGGCAGATGGCGTTGGCGGTGTAATGGCCTTTTCCTGTTCACGCTTGCACGAGCGAAGACGTGAACGTAAGTCTCAGGATACGAACAAACCATTGCGCCGGGATCATTTCGTGGCGAGGCAGCGCGAGGCGGCGTCGTCGAACGATCGAGGACGGGCGGCAATTCGCGGGTGATCGTGCAGGTGCGGAGAAGCGCGCGGAGGGTCGCGCGAGAGAAACACGCCGGGACAGCGGTACATGTGACCGCGTGGCCACACGTGTTTTGCGCCCAGTTTCAGACCCATCGGGCAACTCTTCGTAGTGAGTTCTTGCGCGTTCGCCTCGCGCACGGCCCATCTACCTTGGTCGCGGTACCGCGTCGCTTCGCACCGTCGCTTCGCACCGTCGCTTCGCACCGTCGCTTTCTTTCCCTCCTCGTCGCTCGCGTTTTGCCGTGCACCACCAAACAAACCGGCCCCTCCCGATAATATAAATATTTTCCTCCGACCGCGTTAACGAATTCGTCTGAACGTAGCGTGCCATTTTCTTAATTTATCAATAATCGTAAATTATTCATCGGTGCGTCCTGGTTTTAGACTCGTAGCTGGCTGAGAGCTGTTGCGTTTCTGTTATATTGTACTTTTCTTTTTCTTTTTTTAACGGGTTGGCGTGGAAAGTACTGGTCTAGTCGTGGTGTGAAGATAAGTCGTGTCACAGAGATTACTTAAAAGTTGACGCTCGGATCGGCATAGATGTGTTCCGAGATACCAGGATGTCGAGAGAACCGTTTCGTAGTTGACCAGTGCGTTGCGTTTCATGCTTCAAGTGCGAGTAATAACTTCTGATCTTTCTTCAACAGATAAACAATGGATGACAAGGAGACTTTCGACGATATGGTGGTGGCAACCACCAATACGTTGCCGGTGGCGATGCCGGCTGAGCTGCCAGAGATCAAATTGTTCGGACGTTGGAATTGCGACGACGTACAGGTGAACGATATGTCTCTGCAGGACTACATCGCGGTCAAGGAGAAAAACGCCAAGTACCTTCCACACTCGGCGGGGCGCTACGCGGCGAAGCGCTTCAGGAAAGCTCAATGCCCCATTGTGGAGCGTCTTACAAATTCGCTCATGATGCACGGCAGAAATAATGGAAAGAAGTTGATGGCCGTGCGAATCGTTAAACACGCCTTCGAAATCATTCACCTTCTCACCGGCGAGAATCCTCTGCAGGTGAGATAAGTCAAGCCTATCACACAATGCCAGGCAACAGGCAATAGGAACAGGGAATAGAATTTTTGACGCGTTGGATTCGTCGAAAATTTTCTTCCAACCAATCCAACGCGTCAGAAATTCTATTCCCTGTTCCTGTTGCCTGTTGCCTGACATTGTGTGATAGGCTTCAAGCTTGCTTCGCACTTTGGGTTTTTGTATAAATAATCATGCATTGAGGCATCTTAAAGAAGTGACTGTTATCAGTAAACTAAAATGTCGACACTACGTCGTTTTGCACAAGTTAATTTTTATTATGCTTTTGCGTGGACGCTGTTACGCTCGCTTGACTCGAATGTCCGTGCTTCAGGTTCTCGTCACAGCCATCATCAACTCCGGCCCGAGGGAGGACTCGACGCGCATTGGGCGCGCCGGTACGGTGAGGCGACAGGCCGTGGACGTGTCCCCGTTACGTCGCGTCAATCAAGCCATCTGGTTGCTGTGCACGGGCGCGCGGGAGGCCGCGTTCCGCAACATTAAGACCATCGGCGAGTGCTTAGCCGACGAGCTCATCAACGCCGCTAAGGGCTCGTCGAATTCGTACGCGATCAAGAAGAAGGACGAATTGGAGCGCGTCGCCAAATCTAACCGATAAACATTACTTTCTAAATGCGGAAAAAATAAATAAACATTCTATCTTTAAATCGTCTCCTATATTATTTCTCTCCACTGTTTCTCTCTCTCGGCGTAGGATCTTGTATGTTTTAATATTGAGGTGGCGTACATTTATTCTAATTGTTGTAATACTTGTGTCGTTAATGTTTATTTAAATTTTGAAAGGCTCGAAAACAACGTCAATTTCTAGAGCTGTAAATTGTTATTACAACAGTTTTACAATAGACTTGTTTCCTGTTGCTACACTGGTGAACTAGTGCAATAAATTAGAGTGGGACAAGTATATGTTTTCGCATTCTAGCTTACTGCACTAGTTGACCAGTGCAGGAAGAGAAAACAAACCCAATATTGGCACGTTCCGAAACTCATCGAGAGGGCATCATGGCTTCCGCCTGTGAGAGGTATACATATGACTGTATGAAGATTTGAGGTTAGAAAACTGATGGAGTAAAGAGAGATCTCCAACATAGCGAGTGTTAGGTAATACGAGCCTGACCATGGCAGGTGTACTCAAAAAGGTAATTTATGCGCGAATAAACACGCCTGATTAGGATATTTTCCGTCGCATTTCGTATCTATGGCACATTAGTCGATTCTAGTGCAGACAAAATAAGTTCCCTGCCGCAGGGACTCAGAAGTCGCTCGATTGTATCAACTCGCGTTTTCCTTGCAGTCTACGAATTTAAAAGGATTGGCCGTTTGCAAGAATCCGCACTTGGAGCTGACTCCGCTCTACCAAAGAATCCTGAGAGTGATAAGCAAGTTGCCGGAGGATTACACCTACCGGAAAGAAACGGAGGAGCTTGTCAAAAATAGATTGAAAATCGTGCAAAAGGTGAAAATCATTGCTCGTTGAAGCAGCGACTATTACCCTACGTAATAATGCTCTGTTTTGCCGTTTCTGATCGAGTGTCATGTTTTACAGAACGAAAGCGTGCAAGCTATAGAAGACAAGATAGGTTGCGGACAGGTGGAGGAGCTGATAATACAGGCGAGGAACGAGATATCGCTGGCGGAGAAGATGTTAGTCTGGAAGCCGTGGGAGAAACTGTTGCAGGAAGCACCGTCCAACCAGTGGGCGTGGCCGCCGCACAAATAATCTTAATTCGTTAAAATATTTGTACATAGCACGCAACCGATATCGATGCTGGTAGATCGCGCATTGTGCCCACGCAATGTTATGCGACGTGTGTTGTTATTTAATAAATGTCTCCCGTAACTCTAATCTTAACTTTGTAGCAGACCTAAGAAATCAAAGGCCCGGTCTACAACGAGTTGTTAGCAGGGTTGGGAAAGTTACTTTATTAAAGTATCCAGTTACAGTTACAAGTTACCAATTCTGAAAAGTAGCGAATCGTTACTTTGCAGTTACTTTCTTGCAGTAAAAATAAAAATATAAAATCTGCGTTTGAATTATAACGTGTCGATAAGAGCGTTTATGTGCAAATGCAAGGCCTAATACAATCTGCAGAGGTTTGAAAAGTATATAAAGTAACTATTAAATTAGTTACTAGTTATCGAAGAAAAATGTGACCGAGTTAAGTTACAGTTTCAGATGGAGAGAAACTAACGAAGTTAAGTCAGAATTACCAAAAAAAGTAACTGTAACTACGTTACAAGTAACGAGTTACTTCCCAACCCTGGTTGTTAGTCGTAAGCCAGAAGTCAGAACGAAATGTCGGCCCTTTTTCTTCCATCCAGAAAGGAAAAGGATCGACATATAGTTCCCAGTTCTGACTAACTTATTGTAGACCGGACCTTACAGTTGCGGATTTCAGGGCAATACAAATGGATAAGTTTCTGAAGTGTTCTTTTGAATCATGACAGGCACACACTCCAATGAAAATAGAATATTTCATATTCGTTTTAAACTCGGGCAATGTCTTGTTTGTTTCTTTTATGCTGCATATTATGAAATTTCGCGGCACGACGGTAAATGTTCATTGATCAAAATGTGTCCTTTGATTCTGGAATTGGTTTTAAGCATGCAAAAGCGCTCGTTTTCGTACATTTGGTTATTATAAATGTTCGACCGCGGTTCGTCATTATTTTCTCGACAGAATTATTCGAGCCAAAGAGAAGATCAAGAGGTGTGCTAGCAATCCAGTTAGTTCTACATTATCGATATTAACGAAATATCGAGTATCGTCAATTGTAATTTAGAAATAGTTTGCTAGATGGTGCCATCATGCAATTTTAACGTGTCTCGTGAAGCTTGCGATCGCTCGACGGCGCGAGGTGGCGCGATCATAGCGTCGTTTTACGCGTAAACACGCGATTTTCCGGTAAGTAGAAAGAGAAGGCAAAAAGCAAACACATCTTGTGCGCTTTATCGCGGACAATCCTTTGCCTCGAGAAACGCGCGGATGAGAAAAATTATAGATTAAGCACGAACTTTACGGATTTACGCAAATTGCACATGAATCTCTATAGAAACGTTAAAGCCAACAGTAGTTTTAAGTTTACCGCAAATAAAAGTTTAAAGTGTTCAAATTTACATTTTATATTTCTTATTTTTTCGAAAGTGAAATTTTATGGTTTTCTAAGGTATATTTTCCCAAGGGTAGAAAAGCAATATGGGAAATAGCAGTGGCGAAATAACATTAATTAATTAATTAAAATAATTGCGACGTTCAAACACAACAGAGGGATTTACCTTATACGGGAGGTCAATTCTGTATCTTACACTACTAGTGAAAATGCTAAAAGTGAGTAGCTTTGTCTCTTTCAAACTTTCCTCTCACTACAGTGTCTCGTACAACACAAAAGCTTGCAGCAACATTGCATATTGCAGTGTAATGGTACATAGATATTGCAGAGACATTATTTTACAATATTACTTTAGTAATGTTGTAGCAATATTATTATATTTTAAAATATTGATACAATTACGTTTGTAACATGTATAATATGTTGTTTCCTCATCTCACTTTTACAGTTTACTAGAAATGACAAAACGCGCGCTTCGCGCGCGCAGTTTGTAGTCGAGCATTGTATATTTTTTATGAATTTATATACATGCAAAGCAGTAATTGTATGCGCAACGTCAATTTAAAATAAAAAGTAATTTATCACTCACTGATACGATTCGCAGCAGCAGAGTTGTACACACATTGTTAACGTATATATTATATGTAAAACTGTAAAAATACAAATATATGATTATTATAGACTAATTATGTAAAATCGAAATTATTGTATTAAATATACTTTAGATTTAATATTTTTAAAATAGATATTTATTAAAATAATGATATAGAATACTGAAAAAGTCTTTCTTTTAAATATAAACTCGCAAAATTGTATACGTATAATTTTGTCTCTAACACTTATTCGAATCCTCGTTCGAATCATTTGAATAAATCAAATAAAAACACAGAACAGATGCTTTACTTCGTACAAGTAACAGATAACATAAAAATGTAAGACACTTACCTCACCCTTTCTCCGCTGTTGCCCGATGCCTCCTCGGCCTCCTCCTCCTCTCAGATTTCCTTGTTGCACTTACACTCACTCGTGAAAATCATCGATAGCGCGAAATTTCCGGCACTCCCGTACGCGATGTGAAATACCGCGAACACACGAAATATTATTAACTTTTGCGTTATCGGTTTCCAAGACTTTCTGTCATACAAATTACTCAAACTAACAACTTGCATTTTTGATTCGGAAGAATAGGATAATGGATAAATCACTTTCGAATTGGCTATAAAACACAACGCGCAAAGAAATAATGTAACGACGTGCAATAAGCGAATTTCTTTACTTCCCGCCCGTTCGAGTTGCGAAGAACGACAGAGCGAAGTCGTACAAATTTCTCTTTTTTCCCGAAAATGGAACAGATTACACGAAATAATTATTTGAGGAACGTTACTTGTTACTAATAAAGATGTGCAAATCGATAGCGTATTATCCCTGCATTCATCTCGATCGAGTCTTACATCGTACGTCGCCGCGCCGAGAGAAAAACAACAAAAAAAGTTGAGAATTCGTTGGCCCGCTTAATCGTCGTACGATACCGCGCCGAGTGAAAAACAACAAAAAAAACGTTGAGAATTCGTTAGCCTGCCTACGCAATGGAAAATTCCGTACTTAATATTTTATTGTATATTACTTTGTTCCGTGACTGTTGCTACGTTTTGCGTATTATTCCGCGGACTTATTGGTATTGATTAAATTAGATTAATTCTGTTCAATCGAGAAAATGTTTCGGAACAAAAATCATTGGTAAAGCCAACGGCACACGGTACTATTTTTCCTACTGGATTGCATACAACAGCCAATCAGGATGCAGAGTTTTCGATCGGGTGACTCAAAGCTGAATCCTGATTGGCTCTCGTAAGTAATCCAGTAGGAAAAATAGTATCGCGTGTCGTTGACTTAAAATACAGAATTGACCCACAGACGCCGAGTCATCGGCGTTTCTGGAACTTCCGGATCCGACGACATTGGCAATCCGTTATTTTATTGCGCGCCGGTCACATCGACATCTCTCGCGCGCTCCTCGTTCCTTTTATTCTCACGTATCTCCCGGCCCTAATAATCGCGAAACCAGCCGAGCGTGCCCTCGGTACCCGCGGTGGTCCGTCCGAATCGTTCGTTCGGATCGATCGTGATTGGGCTTTGCACGCGGCTAAGTGCGCCGACGAAAAAACGTGACGCCGAGCGCGGGGGGAGGGGGAGGGGGCCCGAGGCACCGTAATTTCCTGATCGTCCACCGAAACCTGACACGGGCGGTCTCTCCCTTCTTTTCTCCCTTTTCCCGTCTGCAAAGCGCACCGCGCTCCCGATTATTACGAAATATAAAACACACGTTGTTCGATACCGGCCTTAATAACCATTTAGCTGCACGAGCAGCCCTTCGAAAATGGCCGTAAACAAGTTAATAACGTTTATCATTTTCGTCGCACCGCGAACGATTTCCCGAGCGAGCGTCGAGTCGCGAAAGCGAGAGCGTTAAGATGACGATCGCTCGACGTCCGCGCGCTGTAGAATTGCCGCTATCTTCTTCTTATTCTTATTATAGGCACTCGGCTCATAAACAACTGAGCCGACACGGCCACGGCGAACCTTTAGTCCTCCACAGTAAACCCACGTCGAACCAATATTCTAAATAGTTAGACAATGCAATGGCCCGGTAACCGGTCCACGCGCGAGATGATGCAATCCCGCAAGATCAAAAATTAATCTTCCGTCGGAAGACGTGTGAACCGCCCAACGGCCCAGACGGGACTAGAATTGCCGCTATGATTTTTCAGAGATGCTAGATTTGACCGGGAATTGCTGGACTTGAGCAAGGAAACGTGCGCTTATTTGTAATTGGGATCGACAAGCGGAGTCTTGAGGCCTGCGTCCACGCTTTCTTTTCAAAGTTACTGTTTACGAAATTTGGATCAGTCCATTACACGGTCTGCACGGGGTTTTCCCAAGTTAGCGATTGCGTTTAAGACCGTAATGATTTTCCAAAGACTACGTAGATTTGGTTAACACTTGTAGCCGTGTAAAAGTACACGATGCGCAAAACCGAAAACGATATCAGGCAAAGGGGTTTTTCTAATTGTAATATCGTGCCATTTCGGAAACGCATTACGAATGGACTAGTCCATTTCGGAAGCGCATTACGAATGGACTAATCCATTTC